CCCTGCTTGAGGACTCCATTTGGAGCCTGGTGCTGGGAGTAGCTCTCAGTTTTTTTCATACTAATAGCTATCAAGGGTGGTAGACAAGTGTGGTACTTCACAGACACTCAAGGAGACCTCTCACAGGTCCACCCAATGCATCTGAAATGAGACAGGCTCTGAAGCAGAGGTGCCAGGGAAGACTGACTGCAGAAGGCTTTGCAAAAGGAGCAGGAACTTAAGTAGGGTTGCCAGATGGTTTCAACAAAAATACCGGACACACATGGCATTACATCACAATCTACATTGCATCTTATTTAGAAAACACCGGACATTTATATTTTCTCATGTATATTTTCTCAATTTGTTTCCCAAACAGAAAGCGCAAATACTGGACAAGGGTGGGACTAAGAGGCTGTTCCGGGTGCCAGAGGTGAATGAGGAGCAGCAGTGAGAAAGGGCAGAGCACAGGGCCTGTGGCAGGCAGCTAACATAGGAAGATGCCGGCAGGGTCGGAGTCATACAGAGCATCGAAGGTGAGGATGTGGCGTTGAGGTCCTGGCCTGGGATGTGACGCCAACTGTTGGGTTTTAGAGGGTGGAATTCACTGTACTCTCAAACTCTGCTCATGAGAGAATCACCCAGACCCTACTCCCATGAGAATTTGCCAAAAGCAGAAGCTGTCTTCAGAGCAAAGGCCACTACACCGGAGATGGGGAATAAGACATGTCACTTGGACACAGGTGATCATGGTCAATCGAGGTCAAGCTAGGCCTACCTCAATCGCAGCAGCTCAGCTTTGTACTTAGGTCACTGGAAACAGCTAGTCCAGTTAACTATCCCACTGGATTGCTGGGAACAGAGAAGGGAATGATCCTCATTAAGGCCAGAAAGGGGCATGCTGGGATCGATGAAGCTGGGATGGCTGCTCTCTGGCCAGGGTTGAGCTGGGCGGAGCAGCTTTCAGAGAAGCAGTTCCTCTCCAGCGACGGGAAGCAAAGTTACAAGCTCTGTTTTACTGGCACTCTTCTTTCTCTCCATTTATCTGATTGCAAATTACCAGCCAGACAGTTAATGACTGCTGACAGGAACGGACACTCCCTTCAAGAGATGCTTATCGAAAGGCTCTGAATTCCTGTTCGCTTGACGTGTCAGAGGGATGGGAGCCCAGAGAAGCCCAGAAGCAAAAGAGCAGCAGCCCAGGGATGCTTAAAGGAAAGAGAGAGGATGCTCTGGCTACTGTACACTTAGCGCACGTGTTGTGCACATGCAGAGAAGCATGGACTTCATCTTACATTTAGATAGAGCTACATGTCCACTGCCCTTAAGTGTAACAACCAGCATCTTGAGTGACATGCCAGAGCTAAAAAGGACAGGTTCCATGGCTGGGATTGTAGCAGATGGGGCACATTCACCATTGGGTTTTGTAAGCAGGTAGCATTTCACCCAATACTAAGGTCTTGTCTACACGCTGGAGGAAGTTAGCATTGCAAAAAGCCCTAGGTGGGAATGCCTCGGACTTTTGGCCACTTGGTATCCACACAGCGCTGTCTCTGGCAGCTGAAAAGCACTGGCTGTACCAGCTGTTGGCAGCAGGCAGGCAACGACTTTGATTCTGCTCTGCTAAGCCCTGTATTCTACCATGATTTCTCCCCACTGGGGACAGAAAGCCACAACTGCATCAGTTCAGCTGGCTCGGCGAGCATCATAAAGATCAGCTTCTCTGGAGCAATGGTGTGCACGATGGGCCAATACTTAGAAGTCCCAGAAAGCACAGGCAAGTGTGCCGTGCATGCACCACGTCAATAACGTTTATGAAAGGACAAGCAAGGCAGCTAGCCATTTCTTCCAACTGATGTCCTTGCACCTTCTGAGTTGCAACTATTTTGGGGGTGGGAGAGGGAAGAGGACTCAGCAGCTGTTTAATAAAACAGGATTAGATGAGACAAAGATTTCCTTTCCAACTGAAAATGCAGGGAGAATTGAACAGGTAGAATGTAGGTAGAACTGGAGAAAAAATTTGCCAGGATGTAGGTTAACAGCCATTACTCTTGTGAAAAATGACATGACCCTTAAAGACTCAGCAAGCCAGAAACAGATTTTACATCTCATCCCCATTGACATACAATTGGGCCAGGACTTTCTGCACAGTGGCTAGATAAGTACATGTTTGCCAGTGACCTTCCAAGCAGAGGTTAATGCTAGTCCATTGATCAGATGATGCAGCTGCAACTAGGTGGGGGGATTTTGAATTCTTCCTTCTCCCCTATAAATGCTGATGGTAACCATTCCATGACTCTGCAAAGCAAACCTCCCGCACAGGGTGCCCAGTAGCATCTGCTTTCACTCCCAGCGCTGGAGAGTCAAACCTTTTTAGCTCAAGTTTTTTTCCTTGGCAAGGGTGGGCAATGAACCACAAGGGCAGGATGCCTGGCAGAGAGCGTGTATGCTCCCTCTCGACAGCACAGGAGATCACCCCAGAGCTCCCCTTCCTGCAGACAGGTCACACACAGTCTGCACGGATCTCAGGTCTGGTTTCTTAGTCAGGCCCACACAGGGGATGCTTTCGATGAGCGTTTCAGTTGGGTGCTGCTGTCTTGGCCGATGTTGCAACAGGCTTGGCGGAACTGAGGTGAGGAAATGCATCTTTTGTAACCCTCACCCTCCTGCTATGATCCCAGATGCAAGAGCACTCGTTCAGGGACAAGCCTTTAGCACTATTTCCTCACATGTTGGTTAAGCTGCTCAGCTTTAAAGGCCACCTCTCTCCCTCTCCATTGTCACACTGACAGATCCGCTGATCCCCTGCAGCACATCACACACTCATGGGTGATCAACTGAAACTAGGGGGCCACTATGAATTTCTGCTGGAACAGCATGGACAGTCAGGGATGCGATGGGGTATGATCCCTGTTGTGCCAGCAAAAGCCACTAGCATAGACCCAGTGTACTAGCAAAACTGGGCTTTACTGGCATGGTTTGCTCACCCATGGGGTGGTTTTACTAGACTGGAGCAAACACAGCTTTGCCAGTACAGTGGCAGCCACGCTAGAAGCACTCTGCAGGTATAGAATATTGGTATTATTCTACCAGTTACACTCCTAGCGTAGACACCACCTGTATCCACCAGCCTTACAGCATTTCAGCTGAGTATTTGCTTCAGTTTAGAAGCTGCTTTCATCTTCACTTTTAGGTGCCGTGTGATAGACGACAAAACTTGTGATTGCAAAGGCAAGAGCTGATGTAGCACAGCTCACAGGAGGTGCAAAAAGCTGTGGCATAAAACATGGACACCCGTGCTGTCTCCAGCTGATAGCACTTTTCAGATGTCACCTTTGCAGTTGTCAAAGTAATGAAACTCAAAGGAATCTCTAATCCCTGTTAAGGCAGAGAGGATGACTTAAGAGTTTTGTTAGCCCTTGGATCTACTTCACCTTCTTTTGGAAGGCTTAAGAAATATAATCAATCAAAATCGGCTTGAAAAGAAACACCATGAAACAGGCATTTTTCAGTCACAGGCCAGCTGCAATACTGTGGTTTTATCGCTTTACAAAGAATCTTAAATTAGAAACATGGAAAGTGGCAGTTTAAATATGTGAGGGACAGTTTAAAAAAACCTCAAAGTTTGAGCTGGTCATTGCATTTAGACACAAGAGCCTGATTTTGCCATGCTCTTTGGAAATATCTGTCATGGATGGGGGGGGACGGAAGAGACAGGACGCAAGTACTTGAAATACAAAATTTGCCCTCCTCTGAAATTATGATCCCAGCCGTCAATGCCCTCAATGCATCTGCTCTTTACTGACCCCACTCAGGGTTCCCAGGGAAGGCGAATTAATCTCAGTATATGTGCATGGAAGGGGCGAGATTCTTTCTGGCCCTGAACTTGGGGGATCAGTTGAATCCTGGACCGGTTCTGTCTCTATCCAGCCCACTGTTTGTTCCGGCAGCCTTTGGGAAGAACCCAGATATAACCGACAAAAGTAAGAGTGTGACAATGCTATCAGTCACCATTATGATAAAGTATCTGATTTTACTATATTTACACACAGAGATAGCACTAGTTACAAATGTAAGTGTCCCTATCCCACTCCCAAAATCTAATATCAATGCCCCAGAATGTGCATGGTTTTTGAATATGGATTCTCTGCTAGGGAAAAGAAAACCTCCAGCACATTCACTGTTACCTTGATCTCTGCACTTTCCAGTTCCTAGCATGGATTTATGAGCTTCTTGAATTCCTCTGAACAATTTCCACAACCAAAGCACAGATACCTAGCCACACCATGCAAACCATTCAAAAAGCCAAGATCAAGACCTGGGTAAAGCACCCCGAGAGACTGGCAATGGAAAGATCTAATTACAATGGCCAAGATTTTCTGGAGTAAGCAGGAGACACACTGGATTTGAAAAGAGGGATGCTTAGCACTTTCTGAAAATTAGACTCCCTTCAAGGCATCTCCAACAGGGATCCCAAAATCACTGGTCACTTTTAGAAGCTGGGTGTGTCCAAACTAGAGTATGTTGTATGAAACAGCAGAGCCTGCTGAAAGACTGTTTTAAAGAGGCACTGAATGCCTCTAAGCTAAATGAGATGCCATAGCTGAGTGAGCTGGGAATGTTCACTGCTATGGGAGTCTGCAGAGAAAACTGAACAGGTCAACAAAAGTCACTTTTTACAAGAGATTCTCTCCTGTGCCAAAAGCAATTCCCAGTAAATGTAAGTAACCACTTGTCTTCCTACCTCTTGGTGTGATTATCCAGATGGCAGCCCACAGCCTTTCCTTACTCTTATCTTGATCACTGAACTGGAAATGCATGAAAAGTTGAAAAAATGATTTCAACATGAGTCCCACACACTTCTCCTTTTAATACCCAGAGGACTGCTAGGGAAGAGGCTCATAGAATGACTATGCAAAACTCTTCTGTGCCTGTGCTGACAAGTCATAAGGGGAAAAAAACACCCCAAAAGGCTACAGCATAAAACCAGAAAGCACTTTCATCATGCAATCAGAACATACCCTTCTCTTCAGATTCAGAGATAAGGCTGATATTCTTGGGCTCAAAGCCCCAGTCATCCTATCAACTGATGAACCCTCCTCAGCATCAGTCTCTCCAGCAGCAGATGTTCAGGGCATTCTGGTGGCTGCCACTCCTTGCCTTGAACAGGCAGATGCAAATCAAATTCCTTTAGCTTCCACAACACACCCTCTCTGGGCTGCACTATGTTGGCTATGCAGTCAACAAGAGTAGGAGCACACCAGCTACAGTGATCTGGCCTAGACATATGAGAAAGCTTTCCATCCTGTCGGATGTGCAAACTGCTTTAGTTCCAGGACTGCAGAAAAGCAGCCACCTCTGGGCTGGCTGCAAGCGCAAAGTATGTTGCTTACGAGTGAGGGAACAGTGGACTCCAGGGCAAACACCTATTCTTACAAGAAATGCTGTGGACTTTTAATGCCAATACAGGCCAGACAGGGGCTTTGTTTAAGCCCTTATCTTAAGAATGCAGTACAGTAGACTTCCGATGATCCGGAACCTATGGGACCTATTATCAGCTATGCCGGACTATCAGGAGGTACTATAAACTGGTTATATATATACTGTATACATTATATACTGTATATAAAGTGTTCTTAACCCTTTTAATTGTACATACTGTATACAGTATACTGTAATGTTTTAGTTTTTTTAAGCCTTTTTTACCCTTTTTGCTCAGTTCAACTGCTGCCGCTGTTACCTTGTGACTCATTTTTTGCTGAAGCTCACTCACTAGGCTCTTGCCATTTTGATGCCGGACTATCAGGAGTGCTGGACTATTGGAGTTTTACTGTACCATGGATTGTTGCCTATACAGAGCACCTTGGTGCAGGGTGTACAGTTTTACATTAAATCATCCCAATCAAAAGACTACATGCAATCATGGTTCTTCCAGAGTTACAGAAACTCTGCATTCCTGAAGGTGTGAAGAATGATTTTTACTGAACAAATTGTGTAGCTAGGAAATTTATTTCTTGGCCCTTTCCAATAACATTGATGTGATGGTGCCATTTATGCTACTGTAGATCAGCTACATGTGGGCACTTAGGAACACCCTAGACGTGGACTCACTCCATAACCTCATAGCAGGCCTGATTCCAAGACCAGCTCAGAAATTCTTAGAAGTTGTCACAATAACCTTTTTGACAGCGAACAAGCTTTCCCAGCTTGGCCTGCATTACCCAGGAGGCCAGGACAAGACATTCCACCAAGTGTCCTCCTCACGACTGCACGATCCAGTGGCAATGAAGGAGTAAAACCTTCCATGCTGCACAATATCCCAGCATTCCTGTGTAGAGCACAGGTGTTCAGACCAGCTCCCCCACAGCAATGATTAAGAATTAAAGGTGAGACGAGGTTTGACTCAGACCTTGCCTAATTTTTCCTTCCTACTGATAAATTCTCGTTACTGCCCTGGATAATGTAGCCAGGCTTCTTTTTTATTAGATTTAATGAGCTTTCAGTTGCCTATATCTTCTGGAGGATATTAATCACTTCTGAAGTATTGAACATTTATTCTGTTTGCAATTCTCCTCAGAAGTTTAAAAATAACCTTCTCCGGTCATCTCATCTTTAATAGGCATGTCCCATGAAGATAAATTCAACCTCAGTCTTCTTTACATTTGCACTAGTCTCATCCACAATGGCACAGCTCCAGGAAACAGCCCTTGTTTCACTGCTATTAGAGGGTGAGAGAGGGATGCTTCAGAACTGGCAGGCCATTCCTACACCAATTTCACACTCTTCTAGCATCATAACACATACTAGGGATGTAATAGTGTAGTTGATTAACCAATAAGAAAAAAACGTATAGGTTAATGCTATAGAATATACGCATTTCCCTCCTCCTCCCCACCCTCCTGCCAACCACCAGTAAATTTTTTAACAGCAGCCTGGCTCAGTCCTGGCTTGCAATGGATCCGGGCCCTACCCCAGCTGCGGCTCTGCATTTAAAGTGTATTAGGAGCCAGCAGGCAGCCTGGCTCAGTTCTGGCTCATGCTGGGCCTGAGAGCTCTGACTCCACTGTGCTGCCCCTTTATCAGAGGCAGCAACACAGGGCGACAGGCAGCCGGTCCGCAAGGGGAGCTGGTTTTTAAACTGGCTCCCCTCACAGACCAGCTCCCACCTGGCACCCCAAGGCAGAGGCAGCAGCACGGGCTGGCAGGGGGCTCCTTGGCCGTGGGGCAGGAGCACACTTGCTCCCAGCCCCACCCCCGGGACTACAGAATAGTCGACTGATAAAAATTAATGAGGTTACTCGACTATTCAGTTAACCAATATTTAACACCCCGATTACACACCAGCCTCCCCTAAAGACCAAGCCAGATGACTAGGCACCATCTACAAGATTACTGACCAGGTCCAATATTAAGAAATTCCCATCCATAAATTCTCCCCCCAGGATCACCTCTTCCCTTCTTCCCCACACAGGTGGGAGCCTGAGAAAAGAGATGGACCCTGAATATCAGCAGAGTTGGGTCACTGGAGGATGCAAATTTCAGAGCTAGGTGCCCTGTACGAAGACTGCTCTTCCAGGTGGGTGCTGTGTCACTCAGGGCCTTGTGGTCACAAGACAAGGAACGGGGCAGAGCTGGAGTGCAAGGCAATGGGGGCAGGGGAACTCAGGGCAATAGGTATGCGAGTAAGTGGGACCCGGGGTTGGTTGATAGGCAGCATGGGGAAGCAACAGGGTTATAAAATTGCTGTGAGGACATCTGGGCATGGTCTGGAGCCTTGGACCCTCCACCGTAGAATTGCACAGTCCAGGCTCCAGCCTGAGCCCAGACATCTATAGTGCAAGGCCCAAGCTCTGCAGCCCAAGGCCTGGGACCTGACTCAGCTGACGGTTACTTATCAGAGTACAGACATACCCTCCCCTCCGCAAGCCAGAACCCAGGCCAGACAGGGCCACCTGCACTGGCCCACAAGAGAGTCAAAAGGTAAAGGAAGCATGAGCAGCGTAAAGGAAAGTTTTAGGAAGGTCAGGTTTTCCATACCAGATCAGATCAGCAGTCCAGCGAACTGGGGAAAGCCAATGTCTGCTGTTCCTGCTGCCTCAGTGAAAGCATTCTGTTGTTCAAATGGGCACTTGCTCAATGCTGCTCATGGAGATTGGGGCGTGGAGGGTAGAGTTCCTTCCTCACCTGCCTCACCCCACCCATCAGTTTACACCTTAAAGCATGAAATTTGATCACACATTGTTGTTCACACAGTTATCCAGCTCTTTTCTACACCCACTTAGTCAGTCCATTGATCACACATTGTTGTTCACACAGTAATCCAGCTCTTTTCTACACCCACTTAGTCAGAAGCGGAGTATTTAACCATCTGACCTCCCACAGCAGCACAAAGATAGCAGCTGAGCAACCGAGACTCTGAAATACAACTTCAATGTAACAAACTGACACTCTACAGAGCAGAGCTGTAAGCATTGCCCAGCTTGACTGCAACAGAGATGTTGTTCTCCCCCCCCCCCCACCCCGACTAGTCACAGGTCTATACATGCCATATTTGCATCCCCCCCACTTTAAAGGATGGTGTATAATCATGTTTTATATGCTAAAACTCCTTTTTCCCCCCTTAAAAGGGTGCCCACTAGACTGCATGCAGGACAATTCACAAAGCCCCTATCCCAAGGTTTCACACCCCTTCTTTTGCAAGCCCAAGCACATTTAGCCATTTCAAACCAACATCCAGCATCTCTGCCTCATTCCAGACTCAAGCCAAGCCTCAAACCTGGGAACTAGCCTTCAGTCACAACCATTTGAGCAAACACAGAGAGCCGCCCATTGCCTCAATGCCACACAGGTACGTGCATGACAAGCAATTTTCTAGCTTTTTTCAGGCACCTCAGACATACATCCAAACCAACCAAACCCATTTACCTGAGGGTGATCAGGAGAGATTCCCTCCCCGGAGCACTCCCTGCAGCACCTGGCACTGAAATATTGCAGGCTGAACTTTGCCCCACTTCCTTTTGCTAAGGGAAACTGCTTCCCAGGCTGTGGCTGCCTATAGGACAGACCACCTCAATCACCACACAGCAGATACACAATCAATTGCTTTTTCCATTAGTTACTGATTATAGGCAGGCAGGCAGGCAGCAGCCCTTCAGTTACTGAAAGGAAAACTGCATGTAGGATATGAATGGGCAGCTTGTTCCACTACTGTCCCAGTGACGAGGTTACATGATTCAGCTGCTTCAGCTGGAAGTAAATTCATGCAAAACACAGATTTTATGACTGAATTCAGCTTGGCAGGATCACAACAGTGCCTCTGTTATGGTCTCAGCAGGGCTGTGCCTATGCCAGGACTGGTTTGCCTTGCTTCCAGTATTCCACTTACAGAAAACAAATGCCATCGTTTCAAACTAAAGGCCTGATCCTCTCCTGCTAGCATCTGCAATGGACCCAGAGGTTAAAAAAAAAAAATCAGCACTTACCAGCACCATTCAGATAGCAAATCCAAACAGAAGTTTGGCCAGTTTGTTTCTCCAATCTTGATTCAACTAATAGATCTGTGAGGATGGTCTCATTAGAGATACCATATATTAGTTCAGCTTTCCACAGAATGAGAACAAGAGCAGCAGGCAAAATGCAGTAGCAGAGTTGTAGAAAGTTGTGTATTTCAATAGCTTTGGGAGAGACTTAATTATTAGCACCTGGAACTCTTCTAGCAGCAGTTTTCATTGGGAGGATTTCAAAGCATTTTGGAAACATTAAGCTTCACTATACCCCCCAAGGCAGGGAAAATATCCACATACTAAAGATGGAGAAACTGAGGCACGCAGTGTAAGTGATTTACCCACTGTCATATATAGACTAAGCGGTAGAGCCAGGTGAAGAACTCCTGACTTCTACTCCTGTGCTCCAACCCTGGAATTGCTATTTTCCGTTCCACACCTTCAAACTTTAGGCTCTAAAAAGCTCCTAAAATCTGTGATTTTTAAATAAAATTTTATTGGTTCAGTAGGGACAAAAACAACACATAAAATACAGACTGTCCAAGTTTTACATGGCGATGGTTTGAGTTTAGGATCACATGATGTTGACTAAGTGTTGGTCTGGAACTAAATAAAGATGCAACATGCTGAAACTAGATCTGGAGAAATATTAATTTATGCCATTTCCTGCCCCACCACTCCCACTGCCAAGCGGAGGCGGCACTTCCACAGCACTTTTCTCTGCATCAGGTTCTTAACAATAAGATTTAACATCTCCCTAAAGCTTTTTATCTGCAGATATCAAAGTGCTTACCAAAACAAAGACAATCCATTCCCCCCCATATCCCCCTCCCCCCGCAATACACACACTTTATCTCAGCACCTCCACTGCTCTGAACAGGAAGAAAACACCCTCCAGTCAGTTTTCAGATGTCAATGCATTTAGAGAGCTGACAAGGGGCACGAGGAAGATACTTTCAACAGTCAGTCCAGTTATCAGCAGAGCCTATGTCCACATTTCTTCTCTGGGGTGCTCCCAGCAGAGGCAGGATTAATCAGGACTGTGGAGTATATAGCAGAGCTGCAGGGAAAGGCCGAGGGGGAAGGAGTACACAACCATAAATTCCCTGGGATTATCTGTGCTGGGTTATCATGGGAAATCACGGAAAGTTGTAAATAATCAAGTGTAGGATCTCTGCCGTACAAGGCATTCTGCTAGAGCCATGGGAAGTGTTTTAGGGCATCTCTAAGACTATACTCCAAGAAGTTAGTAACAATTGCTGGCTTTGAAATTACATTCATGAGACATGCAATCCACAAAACAGGATTTTGCTGTGCTGTAAGACTCCATTTCATCTTGTCTCACACCCCTCCCCATCTTCACTTCATTAGGGAAAACCCCGACAGCTAGACAAGCCTCTGTTTCGAGTTACATAAATAATAAACTTAAAAAACAACAAAAGGTCGGGTAGCACTTTATAGACTAATAATATAGCCTGGTAGGTTGCCAGAGCTGTGTGCAGGAGCAAAACCCTTGGATTTGGAACATGGTCGGATCAGTGGGTGGGTGAACATCAGATGTGGTACAGTGGCTTGTCACAGTTCATGGAAGGAAGAGTCAGGCATAGCCTGTTGCCTGCTACTGACCAGATCCTGAATGCCTTCAACTCCCATTCACTTCAATGGCAGCTGGGGTGTTCACCATTTTAGGCTTGGGACCCTAGGTAAGCACAATGGTTTTGCAAGCTAGAGCTTGAATGTCACAAGCGCAAAAGGTGCAAATAAGCAGTTCAGGAACGCAGGGTCCCCAAGCCTGAGGAGACCCACTGCTAATACTTCACTGGAATATTTGTCCCTCTAGGACCCTCTATCCAAGGACTGCAGAGTGCTTTAATGAATGAATTTGTAGAGCCCTGCAAATCTTCAGATACCCGCTTTATATCCACAGGTACATCTGCAGATGTAAATGTGGGTATCTGTGGCTCATTTTTGCGGCTAAGGATACAAATTTTATATCTAGAACCCTGCCAACTTGTGGATATCTGATTTAGAGCCACAGATTTCAGTGCAGATATCCATGGCTCATTTTTGACACAGGGCTGAATTTGATTTGGGAAAGGTATTGGGTAAAATTTTCAAAATTTGGGGAATGGAACATGAGCTCCTAAGTGACTTTGGAAAGCTGTGGAAAATGTTACCATCATCTCCATTTTAGAAACAGGGAAGCTGACAGCAAGACAGAATAAGTGACTCACCCAAGGCCACGCAGGAAATGAGAGAGAGAGTCAGGAATAGAATCCAGGTCTCCTGACTGCCAGCCCTGGGCTTTAAATGCCAGACAATCCTTCCATCCCAATGCTTGTGATGAGGCCATCGTGACACACAAATGCACAGGCACAAAGAGCATCAAGCTAATTGATTTTTACTTCACAGTCTCAGCAAAACAAATCTGCATTCAGAACTTTTTTCACATTAATATATTAATTCAACTTCTTCAAAATAAATACTTTTTTTAAAATAACCATTTCTTTACATCACTGCAATTTCAAGAGCAAATCTAGAAAAGTCAGTGCACAGAGCTGTGATATGACCAGCTAAAAAGCTTTCAGATCAAACTATAAAAAAAACAAGAGGTGGGTCTTGTCTTTCAGGCAGGTTGCATGCAGCAGACCTCAGTAAGCTTCCCGAGCACATGAACTTTCTGCAGAATTGCTTGGAAGAGCTGTGCATGATCTCCCAAAGGAAATCTACAAATCTGACTTATATGCAAGTCTGCAGGATTCTCAACACAGCTGGCTACTGATCAGTCCTATTAGGGTTCCAAGTACCACAGTGACCGCTACTGAGAGCAATATAAAGATGACATTATGGAACAAGCATGCATGAATTTCTAATGGAGCTGAAGAGCCCTTGTGAAAGCGCAAGATTAGTGTTATGTATAATTCATTCATATCTCGTCTGGGAGCATAAACAACAGTACTAACCATCAGTTGAGTGCTGAAACAAAGGAATGTTCTGATGCCATGTTACGCTGGATAACCAGCGCTGAAGGGATAGTTCCAAAAATTAAATCCAACTGCAAGTGAACACATTGTTCTACATACTTCTGCATGGAGCGCCTTGCTATAGTGATGGGAAGTGATGTGCATCTGCTGCTAACTCAAAAAGACAGGACTTGTATGTGAACATTCATCATGGAGCTCAAGTCAGCTTGAGTATGCCAAACAAGCCAGGAGGTTCAGAGATCAAATCTTTCTGAAATGTTGGAGGAGACCGTCCTGTCAGCAACTAGAGAGATGCTGGCAT